CTACTTCTCTCTTCTCTCTCTCTCTCTCTCTCTCTCTCTCTCTCTCTCTCTCTCTTTCTCTCATTTTCTCTCTTCTCACTTCATATTACATGCTCACTCAACTATCTATGATTACCTCTTATTACACATACTCATGCTCACTCAACTCAATTGTTTCAAAAATTTTCCCATAAAATTTCATAATTTTGCTCTCTCTTTCGCCTACGTGTTTTATAGAACGTTGGCCTCTTACATCATTTAGTTTATCATGTCATCATACGCACCATTGATTCGAAAAACAAAAAAGCTTCGCTATTAGAAACCCGGGATAACTGGCAGGGCCTCCCTATAAATGATTTACGTTATTTCTCCTCAACGTCTTCTTGCGTCCTTCCTTCCGGTTTTCGTTCGGCCGTGACGCAATTTATTATTATTGTAAAAGACCGTCACGTTGTACCTTATCCCTCACTATACTTTCCTCGATTATAAAATTTTTCATCAGTGCAAGATTAATAATATGATAAATAACATGACATGAATAAGAGCATTTTTTTTAAATCTTGTGCCGGCCTAACAGGCCCGCAATATCAAATGCGCGATATATCAGAACAATTGAGGCGTTGAGAACACAGAAAGAAATATTTTTTTAGTGAAAATAAAAGCAAAAGTTTGAATCGAAATTCTTTGCTTATACGATATCATCGGCATTCGACTAGAATTTTCTTGTAAACCTGTACCCCTTAATTTTAGTTCTCAGCGCCTCAATCAACAGTTAATATCCTATTATTATACGGAAACTCGTGAAACGTGAATCAATATAATATGTATATTTCTGATAATTGTGTATTCTTACTCGATATACGACAAACGACTTCGCGTTTAATATTATCACGTAGAAAGCAAGCTTCGAAGCCGAATCGTTGAACGTGATTTCTCTTTCTCTCAAAGCGTCAAAAGGATTACGTTCGACTTATATAGTTTTAAATCTACGCTTTATTATTTTCTTCAATTCTTCTTTAATTTCCCCATGATTGTACGACGGGAATTATCGTGGCCTACGAAAATTTGCGTAATTATCGCTCGGCGCAGATGCAGAGGCTCTGTGTGAAGCGCGATATCGCGCGTCATTATCCCATCTTCGCCGTCCCGAAATTCTCTAATTCACGTGAGAAGCCAAAACATATGAAGGCATTGTTACTCGTACACGCGTAAAACACAAGGCTAAGGACGCGGTTGGAATCTGTTTAAACCTCAAACACGGATTCGCGCGCAAATATTACTTAGTTCATTAAACCCCTTTCTCTCTTTTTCTCCGCTCTACACCCTTTTACTAGTCACTCCTTACATCATTCACTCATTCTCGCCCAATCTCTCCCTCTCTTTCTCTCTCTCTCTCTCTCTCTCTCTCTCTCTCTCTCCACACACACACACACACACACACGCGCGCGCGCGCGCGCGCGCGCGCGCGTCACTTCTCTTTTTCTTTCCTCTTTTTTTTTTCTTTTTACTAATCTCACACATAATAATGCGACAACAAAGAAAGCATATATGCGTTGATTGGTTCAGACATAAATATTTCAATTATCTTTTACTATACGCCATTGCACCTATTTCAACCCAAGACGTGACCGACAGAAAAATGTACAAGTTTCTTTCCTTTCTTCCTTCTTTCTGCTCTAATAGAACAGATGTATACACGTCGGCTAGTCCGATTTATACTACGTACAATATTTTATATTTCTTTGATCGGCCACGCTCGGGATGTAATGCAAGTCCGCATCCGGGAGTGATATTTAAAATAGACTTCCTAAATGCTGAACACTCTTGTCAAAGACGCAAACTTAAAAACAGCAGGGTTTACTCGTCGTGTTATTAATACTCGATTAACATTTAAATTCCTGCTTTTCGCAACTAAGAGCAAGATCTATGTGAATGCAAAAAAATTGTCTGTATGTATGTGTGTGTGTGGTAAAGCGGCGACCCATAGCTATCTTCTTCTTCGTCTAGCACGGTTCTCGCTTTCGCGATCTTACTGCATATGACGGAGACACTTGAACCTCGTTTTTCTTAACTTAGACCATTCTGGTAATTCGAGCCCGATCACACCGCAGCCGGAGAAAGATAGCCATAGGCGATTAGAGGGCTAATTTAGGCAAAGTTTAGATATAGCAGCCCCTGCAAAAATTGATATTCATTCTACTAAATTTTTGTGGTAACACGAGTGTAAGGTATATCGATTAATATACGCGATTGTGCTTTGATGATCATATTACGTGAAATTACCGATAAATGCCAATTTTCAAAAAGCATCGATTCGATCTATAAATATTGCATTTTTTATCCCTCTTTCCCGTGACAACACACGAATATCGTACGAATGTAAATGAGCGTGCGTATGGTAAGTCGTATAAACGTAAATGATCGTAATGCAGTAAGAGCAATCAATGTAATAGAATCACATCATCTTTACAACTTACGATATTGACGTATGCGTGAATATTTTTACGCATTAGTTACTCATTAGATCGATCTATGTTACGAAACAAAAATTAGAAAGAATGGAGGTTGATTATGTGTCAGGAATGCACTAGTACCATAAATTAAACATTATGCTAAGATCGACACAAAGACTTTTTTTGCTACGTATCTTTCGCTCTACTAGAAAGATATACAGAATTATATTAATATACAATTTTTCACATGCAGAAAAATACTTTCGTAATAACTCATCGTTCTTTCTTTTCTGTGCAAAATGAATCTAAATGAATCTAATCCTAGCTGTATGCATAATAGGATCAATTCGGAGCAGTCTAATCGAAAGAAATGTGAAAGATTTTAACGGTTCGTGAATTATTCGAAAGTATTTTTCTGTTGCTGACTGATGGACGAGGAAAACCATACATACATCGTTGCAAAAGCTACAACAATTCTCGTCGATTTTAAAACCTTCTATACGATGTTATACCAAGAAATGGAAATGGGAATCGGGAGGTTTGAGGCTGCGGGGTTTGCTGTGTATGAATCGAGGTGTACGGTGGTTGCTGGAGAAGAGAGGAACTCTGTTGATTTTGTAATGACGACAAAGATTGACCGGGAGAGTGAGAGTGTAAATTTTGTTGATGAGGCGGATACGACAGCGTGTGATGGCAGGGAGAGGACTGCGAGTTCGTTGGCGGGACGTTTAGATTATTTCCGACGCTGATGTTACTGGGAATGTTAAGACTGTTAGGACTATTGGGAATTGTCAGACTCTTTGGGATATTGAGCGCGTTCGGGAGATTCATATTCGTTTGCAAGCTAGGCGGTAGAGAGAGAGTAGCTGACGTAAGATAATGTACGTTGAAAGATGGACGGGGGGCTAGTAAAGCCTCATACCTTCTTCGAATTTGACGATGAGAGGATCGACGGCGGGACTACCAATAAAACTACCAGCTTCGCTGTTTCCTCTACCTTGGTCCGACTCAGTAGTACTGCTGCCGTCATATTTTGGGTCATCTTTATGAAATAAAAAATTGTAAACATACTTGTCCACGTGCGTCATATTACCATAGGCGCGATAATCTATTATCACATTTATCTTATCTTATTTTGCTCTTTGTTATCAATTCTAAATAAAATTCTAAATAAACGTAATCTTTAATTTCTAAGAAAAATTATAAATAAAATCGTTTTAACATTTTACACATAATTTTAATATCTTTGTTTGCAAGATTTTAAAACAAAAATAATTCACGAATAATTACAACTATAAAATAATTTGTAAATCTTTACGTTAAATAAAAATTTTTAAATTAAAATTATACCTGAGTAATTGCTATTACTCAAGTTAATCAAATTTTAGCATAAAATTTATCTACCTTGACGATTTAGCCATTCTTGATTCGGAGATTTTGTTGCTACTTCTGTGGTCTTCACAGGATTAATAGGATCACCAGTAATAGTGCGTGGACTCGTATGCATAAATGGACAATGTGGCTTTCTACATCCTCCAGGTTGTGTTTCCCAATAACAAGGAATTGACTTACGATTTTTCTACAAATAAAAAATAATGCAAATTTTATTTTTCAAAATTTTATTCTAATTGTTAAATTTTATAACCTAACTAAATATCACTGACAGCACTGTCAGTTGACATAATACATATTTTAATTTTTAACCGTTTGTATTTATTTAAGCAGAATTATAGAAAATAAAATAAAAAGATAGTTATACATATCTTGTTAATAAAAATCATCTATTGTTTTATATTATAAGACATAACTTTCTTAATAATAAATAAAAAATAAAATCTCTTAATAATAAATAAAATAAATCTTTGAAACATTAAAATTTAGTAGCTTTTTTTGTCACTTAAAAAGAAAGATGTATAACTTGAACAAATAATTTATCTTTCTTGCCGCAATGATAAAATCAAATAAAGCGTTATTAATATGCAAAGTAGCAGACTGTTATTTTTTTATGTATAAATTTAAAATGTGTGTTTTAAACAAGAATAATATAGGTCAATATAAATTGATAAGCACAGATGTTTGTGCGATATTTATCACATTATGTAACTTGACATATTTTATATGAATTATTGCAAATGATCTAAAAATTATTTGAATATACAGATTAGTACAAGCCATTAAACGCAGATGTTTATATATCAATTTTGTTTGAACATTTATGCTTGTCAGTTCATATTAATCTATGTCTATTCTCCAAATCGGGAAACTACAAATTCTTTTCTGTGAGGACCAGATAATAAACATTTGAAGTTTTGTAGGCTAAGGAATAAAATCGAAGGTATTACATAAATACTTATATAATAAAAAAGAAAATAAGTTTTTATTTTAACGAAATTCAAAATACAACAACAATTAGGCAAATCATAAATCATATAATAAAAACAGATGGTAAATCATTTCTCAAAACTTGCTATAAACTTGCTATAAACAAATAATTCTTAGTCCATTTCTTATCTGACTTTTAATAATAGTAATATCTTAATATTTTAATAATAGTAATATCTTTGAACATGTGAGATGACGCATGGAAATTGGTTGACTTATAATCATTGGGTTTATTCCAATCTTCATCTCACATATCACTTTTAAGATAGATGTTTCAAAGCATTGAAAGTTAAATAAAGTTAAGTAAAGAAATAATTAGTGAATGGTAATCTATTCAAGGATTTATATAAATTTTAATATTTAATATTGCAATATTTAATATTGCATTGTTATACAATTTTGAGCAAAGCAATTTCTCTAAATAAAAGCTTATATAATTGATTTGCAAAAAAACATTAAAATTTGACAAATGCTAAATATTATTGTACAAAAAGGATACTTACCTTTAATTCCATGTGTCTGAAGTTACAATGTTCATTAAGGCAATTTCCCTGCTGCCAGTATGTGCACATAGTTTCACAACCCAGAGCAGATGGTTCATGTCTATATGGGCAAAAGTCGCCCTGCAAAAACAAAATAGACAAAATATAAGAATTGTTGAAAAATTACAGATTAAATATCATAATTTATGAGAGTAAATTTGATAATATGCAGACTTGCAGTGCCAAATTGCATTGTCAATACTGCAAGTATATCAATTATAGTATATCAATAATGTATCAATATTATCATTCAAATAAGATAATATAAATTATGGATGTTCGGAAGAATCATTTATTCGTTTATGAGCAAATTCACAAACACCATGAATATTTGTTGTCACAACTCAACTTGATGTAACTACAGCATATACATCAAGATAAAAAATAAATCAATATTAAACATAAGAAAAGAAGAAATATCAAATATTTGTTTTTACACAATATATTGCAAAGTATTCACACGTGATGAACGGAGAGTTGTAACATAAAACGATAAAAAAAAATTCACACGCAAGTCATTAAATAATTTAGGATTCTCCCCTGAACTTAGCAAAAATCCCGACAGGACAGGTGTCATTTGTATCTGAATTTTAATTCGAGAACGGAAATTCCTGTCAACATGGTATCAAAATGGCCGACCTAACCTCGGCGAGGGTGTCCGTGTCTGAGCAATATGGTACGACCATTGTCGCGCACTTTCGAAGCAACATCAGACTCGGAATTGGGCGGACGCGATCGGCATGGGTGAGGGGGGAGGGGGAGCCGTGGACGGCCGCCACTTACCTTTTTGCACGTGGAATAGTAAAAGAAGTAGCAGTCCAGATTCTTATGGTTGTGCTCCATTTGTAAGAACTTGTAGAACGACGAGTGATCGTGCTCCTTGCTGAAAACAAAAATCAAAAGTTCTCTAACTACGTGCTCCGTCAGGTCGTGTCGACGAGCGGGAGCATCGTGCCGCCAGGAAGGCGAGGATCTAGAGATGGGGAGGGGGAGGGAGTAACAAATTTCTCTCGTACGGTTGGAATGCGATCGAACGAACGAGAAAAGATCATTTTTACCATTTTGTCCGGAACATGATTGCACGAGTTTGCGACAACGTAATAAGGCTGGCACACGCTCGCTCTTCGGAGACACGGTATTTCTACGGGCTACGCGAAGCGGTCGGAGCTACGGCCAAACTGACGAGACCGTTCAAATCGACGTCGCGAATAACAACAAACACCGAGAGGGGACCGTCCCCCGACAATCCGCTCTGCCGTTTTTTCCTTTCCTACGGGTTTATAACGCGAGGCCCGTGTGTTATTCATTACCGTGTATACGTACACACACTCGACCGCGAATCCCACGGTGACCTCCTTGTTCTCTTCTTTTTGTTTTCCCTTTTTTTTTCCCCCCTTTCGGCCGCCTCGCGCTTTGCCACACGCGTAAGATCCGCTCGAACGTGAGTCGCTTGGTCCTTCCCTCGGTGGGCTTCGACGGTGTTGGTGTCGGTCACCTCGTCGACGTGCCGTACGTGCCGTCCCGTCGATCCGTCGTCGCTCCACGATGCAGCACGATGCAGCACGATGCTTCCGCTCGTCGACACTGCTGCCAATCGCTGCGGCACTGCGGTCACTGCAGCCACCACCGTCGCCAATCGCAATTGCAGCGGCCCATTCAAAAGTGCAAATTCCTTTTTTTTTCACTCTGCCGCTGCAGAGTTTCCTCGAGAATATTATTCATTTCTCTTAGAAATAATTGCTGTTAAATATAAAATGTCCCCCGATGGAGCAATATAATACACTTAATTAATAAGCCAATACAGCTTAGAAATATAAAAAAATAAATATGATTCGTTGATATTCATTTTATATGGTACTACATATGTGATATCCACACACAGATGTATTTATATAGAAAAAATGTATATATACATATTATATATTCTTTTATATAATATTAGTAAACATAATACACATATATTAATAAAAAAATATAAACGTTATTATATGTTTTCATTTATACATGTTAAATTAATAAATATAATCATATAATTACATACATAATTAATGTGTGTGTGTGTGTGTGTGTGTGTAATGTGTGTGTGCGTGTATATAATTTAAGAAATTTGTATGCGGAAGAATACAAACATTTCACTTTAAGCATCTCGAGATATTTTCTTTGTAATAACTTTATTGAGAAAGTGATATTTGTCCCCTTTACATCAAAAAGATGAAACTACATTTTGGCCATCGCTTTTCTTTTAACTTCACAAAATAAAGCTAAAAATATAATTATTAAGATTTCACTCATACTTGTATAATTCGTCGCTGAAATAATAACACAGTGTCTCCATCGCAATATATAAACTTTAAGATGGAGATATACATATACATATTGCCCAAAATTTGCGTATTACATAACTCACTTTGCCCACGTATTATATTATGAATAATTATAACATTTCATTTTAATATTGCTGAAATATACGTGTTAAAATAATATATTTCAACAAAGTACGCCACATTTATTATATGCGAAACAAAGTTCTAATAATTTGTAGATGTTACACTGAACAGATTAGTGTATCCTGTTCCCTATCCTATTTATTAAATTATTTAATAATCATAATACCTCACAACAAAAGCTATAGTGAAATAATGAACGTGATAGGCGTACGTCGATCCTTTACGCTCTTCTCGTGTGAATAAATGTGGAAATTGCACAATCCACTCTTGGGACCCTTAACACTTTGATATTGAAATGACAATTTTCAAGAATTATTTATTACTATATTTCTGCTAATATATAAAATAGGTTCATTTCGTAAATTATGGCTGCATCATTATTTCGGGCAATGTATTACACGGCCACTGATATACGATATGAATTTACGAAATGGGACCATCGTTCATGCGCTAAAATGGCATGATTGTTCTCCTTCTTCTTTATATATATATATATATATATATATATATATATATATATTATTATTAATTTTTATATTATGGCAACCATTTTTTTGGAAATCTTTACTAACTAAAGTAACTAGAGGCAACTAGATACAAAGTTATATAAGTGTTATGGAATTAAACATGCCTTCAAAAGTCTTGCCTGTTGACAACGCCAAAATTAAAAACATGTTATCAATCCAAAACAATATGGCTGAAATAAAAATACAACAATGTTAAAATTGAATAACAATATAAGAATTTTACAGGAATGACAACCGCTTAAACATAATCATAACCCATCTGAATGTAAATAAAATCTAAATAATTATAATTATAATGCATTCTACAAGTGTAATATTATATTGATTTTATTACATAATTAACTCATCATATTCAGCTTCCTAAAGTTTGTGTTAGTATAACATAATAAAATATACAATGTAAATAAGTACTTAAAATATATAAAAAGGAAGAATTCAGACTACTCCATTTGAAGCAATTCCATTTGATGTATAATTATAACATATAGCACTTGTGGCTAATTGAACAGTGAAATTATATATAAAGCCTTTTCATTATTTTAAATATACATTTAGTATTAATTATTATATTAACGGCTTTATATAATTCTAAGAATAGATGGAAGTAGAAAATAAGTCTTCAGTTATATATAGAATAAATATATAAAATTATATGTCTAAAAAATATTATATAAATGATATATGAAATATCTCCATTATATAAACATGTATTTAAAGTATAAATTGAAAATTACAAAAATATTAGAAAGAGATAACTTGAATATTCTAATCTACAATAAAAACATATTTGGTATATAATAATTAGTAACCCAACATGCTTGCATTAATAAAAAGTGATTTTAATGAAAGGAAAATTTAAAAATTTTCATAAAAAGGAACTATGAACAAACTTTAGGAAGTTGATCTAAATTAGACTTGAAAGATAAAAGATACCAATACAAACAAATCGCAATAGAAATATGTTCTTGCAATATAAAATGTTATCAGATTATATAAACGTGCTATACATATAAGCAAATCCTTCAGTGTAGATATATGTGCATTATAAAAAGCCTTATTCATACATCTGAAAGTAACAAAAACTTCAACTTTCATTCTTCTCTATACCTACACATGTTATGCCACCTTCAGTCATTGCGTTCACTAGTCAAATATTAGATAACTATGTCTTATTGCACTATCTCAAATAGTATCTTCGCATGAATATACAAGAAATCCACAATATCCATTTCTTAGAAAATATTTGTCAAGGGAACGCATCGTTCGAAGCTGCATCTAAATGGAAATCTATCTAAATGGCGTATCTATGATACACGAAATGTGTATGTTAAGAGCAGAAATTTACATTATAAAACAAATTTCAATCGCATCATGTATTCATACGCACTAAAAAAATACTTTCCATTTATGTAGGATCGACCAGCAATCCGTCGCAGAAATTAAATCTATCGAAATTAAACTCTAAGGAAGTTATTCCGGGGCCGATTGTGTAAACTAAAAAATACAACTATTAAAAGGACCATTATTTTGTGCACAATCCATCATATTACAATTCTTTCCTTTAAAAATTCATCGAATCACACACAATTCGCTGTTTCTAATGTTTATATAAATTATTTCGAGGAGACTCTAGAGCAACTACGATAGATCAACATCTCCAAATTTTATACAGTCTTATTGAAACGTCCCACATCACCATATTGTTATTTATAATTTTCATCAGTTCGATGAATCATTAAATTAGTCGATACAAAATTATGTATAATGCGATACCACCAGATCATGATTTCTATTTAAAGTCTATCCATAGGCTCAACTAGTACATATTACTAAATTATAATCGTCTGTTTTAAATCACTGTGTTTCACGATATATTCTGAAAAATTGTTATGTCCACGGAACGTTGAAATATGATCAATAAGAAATTCAATCGATATGTCTAAATTGTTATATACTGACTAGCACTTGCTTATTTCGTACACAAAAACATACATATCCTTCTGAGATAAATATTCTTTGCAAATATAAATATAGTACATTGACCAAATAAATTTTAATTAAAGTTAAAATATAAAAAAATATAAAAAAAATAATGTGGATTTCAGTTCTAAACAAATTAGTTTCTTTTTTTATTTACTTAGATTTTTATTATATTCAAAGATCATTACTTTTTCAGAAGGATATATACATATAAGAACATATGTATAAGTAACAGAATATTTATATACATAATATGATACGTAATTTTCAACTATTCATAAACAGCCGACATACAGGCGATTTATCAAGAATTCATTAATTATTACTTACATAATTAATTATTAATTTTGCAAACAGAAAATAGGCTAATATTATAGTTTATTATCGCCTTGTATTCGATTACGATAAGAAAATTAATATTTTTCATTTAAGTTTGTATACGCACTTTTATACGCATCTACATGACTTTTATCACTGTGTTTTATCATTTTAAGCAAAAGACCTAAACGGCAGTTACTAGCGTAATGACGGCAGACGAGAAAAATATATTCTAAAAAAACAGTTGTACAACTGATAGTGTTTTCAGAAAAATTAAAATCATTCTAATCTCCATCAACTCATATATAGTATAAAATTGAAGATTATATCATTAACAGCAATAATTTAAATAAACTCAAAATCTTTTTATTTTATATAAAGATATCCTAAACTTGGCAAAAGAAATGTATTATAAAAATATAACTAAGATTTATTAGAACTGCAACATTTGGAGCAATCAAAACAACTGGTGTGCTATCTTTTAATAGACCATGAAGCTCTATTACTACCTCCAGGACCACCTTCCAGTCTTTGATTTCGTAGCTCCGAAATAGTTTCGTGTAGGAGCCTCTTTTCTTCTAGAAGACTCGCAATATCATCTTCCGCAGCGCTCAAACGAGACTTTATTATATCCGATTCTTCTTTCGCACGCATTAATCTTGCGTTTTCTTCTGATAATCTTTCTAGAGCTCCCATACGACGTTTCAATTCCTCGTTATCCAATTTCAATTGCTTACTAGATTGTCTTAGAGCTTTCAATTCCTTCTCGCACTCCACATTCTTAAGCATATGACTATTATCACTCGATGTCAAGTTCGAGTGAGTTTCATCTATTGTAGTTACTAAAAAGAAGAAAATCATCACTTGATTTACTAGACATTATATTGTAAACTCCAACAAAAACATACAAACATAACACTATTTAGCTTTCTTTAATAAAGGTAATAATCAAAGATGAAAATATTAAAATATATGTATATATCTAATCATACCAACGTTAGATGTGTGCAATATAAAATATATAATTTTTATAATAAAAAAGGATACAAATTATATAAAACTAATAATTAGGAGATATAAAGTATATAAAACTAATAATTAAGAGACGTATATTTATAATGAAGAACTTCTTAGATAAATTTGAGATCAATATTCGCTTAATTTGTAATAATTTATTATGAAGAATCAAGCAAACATTTTATCTCAAATTTATAAAAATTTATTAGTGTAATAAAAAAATCTATCATTGAGTTCGATTTTCAGATATATCTTATAAAAGTTTAATAAATACATAAAACATAATGAAAAGTAGAATAACTGTTGCTCAGTAAATTTTTCTCTCTGTGCATAATAGATCATGATTCATGCTTACTTAAATGCAATTGAATATTTTATCTATTATTATTAATTATGTCTACATTAAATAATAATAAGCTGTGCAATAATAATAAGCAGCGAAATCTAAAGCTACTTGTGTTATATTAATGCTCACATTCGAAAGGCCGCCTGGGTGCAGAGAACAGTTACGCAATATGTAATATTTATTACTTTTAAACAGAAATCTGCCACTTGCGTAATGTAAAAATCTACATATAATACCAACTTACAAATATATGTATTTACAGGCGCAGGGACGGACATAACTAAGATTAAGATCGCATAAAGATCGGGAAAAAAAGTCAACTCAATGTCAACTGCAAGTGGCAGAAACAAAATGAATATATTTTGATCCATGATAATTTTACTTACCAACGGGTTCGATATGAAATACGCCGCTCGTGTCCCGTGCTATCCTGAGTTTGGAAATATTCAAATCTATCGGGATTGGGCCGGGAGAAGTTATGTTATTTGGCGGACGATCTTCATTTAAACGTAATGATATATTTTCTAAGTATATCTGAAATAAATATAAATATATGCGCTCACAATAAATCACGTATATCAAACTAAGGGAAATATATAGGCAATACGCAATTTGATGAATACTCACCTGCATAGGAATTGGTTTAGGTATGATCTCATCCTCTGCCAAATCCGCTAAACCCGTGATTGAGCTCATCGACAGTGCCATTTCTACATTAGCAACTTTCATTTCTAATTTGTCCTCGAATAAATTTATAACGCTTTCTTTGTCATGCACATTGATGCTGGATGTACGCAACGTGTCTTGCTCAGGCAATCTAACGCGATTTTGAGGAACTGATCTATTGCCACTTGTGTCTTTTTGACTGGCATCCGATAATCTACGGTAATCCTCTGGATTTTTCAAACTATGATCCAAACGTAACTTAATACGTGATCTGCAGTCAGAATCGGACGGCAATTCTATCCAACCTCGAGATCGCGAACTGAATTTGGTCTATCAAACAGAATGTATTAACGCATTAAATTTCAATGTATTTGGAAAAAATAAACTATATAACTAGTAAAATATCTATCCTTCCATATTGATCTTACGTTATTGCTCAAATTGTAATATCACATTGAGAAATTAGATGAGGTATGATTTGTATAACTAAATGACTTAATGATATCTTTATGTTAGTTGTAATATAAATTATATAGATTTGATTTTAATTTAGCAGTACAATTAAAGATGTAATTATTACATTTATTACATTAATTACATTATTACATTTATTAATTACAGCATGAAAATCTATTGTTAAATATGTTAATAATCAAATTTTTAAATTCTCCAAACCATTTTGGATTAAGATTCAATATATAAATTACAAAAAATATCATTCAGATGCAAAAGCATATTGATGCGCTAAAGCAATTCTATATAATATTTAATAAAGCATTTTTAATAGCTCTATGTAAAATAATATATAAAATAAATAAAATAATGCATATATATTTATAATATAATCAAGCTGTGTTATTGTTTGCTATTATGAATATCATAATGCAAATTTATTATTATACCATATATTATACCATGCCATACATTTTATTAGCGTAATCTAATTAATAAACATTTCAGAATTGGATTTGTATCAACTGTTATATGGAAATCATAAGAATATAAAAATATGAATTATATGATAAGTTTTCTAATTTAATAATGAAAAATCAATATATTTTAATTAATTCTACAATTATTCTATCAAACAAAAAAGATGAAAGCAGAAATATGTAATGCATTTATTTTATTTTAATAAAACAACATAGCAAAAAATAATATAACTATCATCATAATATATAACTATCATCATATTACTATGATATAAATACAAAAAAACTATCATTTTTAAATGCATGTTAATACTTGCTTTTTTGTATAGAAATTTGCATCTGCTAATAGCAATATAACAAATATATATATATATATATATCAGTGTGTAATTACAGTAATTATTAAATAGTTTGGACTCATATCATAAAAATTTCATAAATTCTACGAAATCCATCAACAGTATGATAACAATGTTACATAGCTTAATCCAACTAATGCATGCATTTTTAATAAGTGTCTAAAATTAATAAATGTATGAATGGTTTTGCCAATACCTTTCTCTTGACCTGCCACAAGTGCCACATAAAAACATTCACAAGAGAAGGAGAGACGCGGGAGAGGCATGCAAAAAAAGTTAAGAGACAAAAATCGTATAAATATACATATATAATGTCAACTGGTCATATAATATAAAAACAATGAGCAAATTACTGCAAAACTACTCAAATATTAATAACTTATGCACAAGTAACCTGCTATTTCAAATATACTCTAATTGAAAAGGTTTCCTATGACTTGTAATCACAAAAAATTTGATGCAATTTTTTTTAATCGCGATAAAATATATAAATTGCGTGGAAAAAGTGATTTTTTTTTTTTATAAGGTGATATTTAATAAGGTAATATTTGAAACTCAAATATTAAACAAGTTGTCACAAAATATAAAATTTACTGTGTATAAATGTAATTCTATTTTTCAAGATATTTTAAATTCACGCACACAAATAATGCTGAATAAATAAGCTACATTATATGAAAGTAACAAAATTTCCATAGTGAAAGAAAAAAGAGAATAAATCTTTATTGCAGCAATATAGAATTAATAAAGAATTTTGTCCATTAAAAAGAGAGCATAATTATATAATAATGTAGCATATAACGTATATTATATTTTATTTTACATCAGTTAACAGATAAATTCGACTTACTTGAAATTCATCCCAAGGAATAGAGGAACACTCATCATTGTCAATGTTTGAAACTTGAATCTTAATAACAGAAGCATAATCACAAGATTGTTGTATAAATTCGACTTTTGATAGCTTGAATGTTGCCATAGAAACCTGCGAAAAAAACAAGATTTTATTTTTATTATCTTGATAACCAAGAATTTGTTTACGATACTTACTATATCTAGAACAACTGTTTACGATACTTACTATATCCTTCCTTTTGCATACACTATCCATAGATTTTTCACTTTGCGTATCGGGTGTTTCTTCCACGACTTCAGTAGCCTCTTCCACTGCTGTTATTCTAATCGAATTGTCGATACCAAATACTGCATCAATCTTGCCTTGATCTTGGAGGCTTACCAAAACGTAATTCTCGCTGTCCGAGCTAACGTCGCTTCTCATAGACACTGTGTCGCTACTACCATCTTCCGGAGAGGCCTTCAGGGCCGAATCGATCGACGTCATTAGATTGCTGAATCCTTTTTTCATAGATGAGAGATTAACATTAAAATTATTTGGAATAAAGGGCGTATTCGAATCCGATTTGCTGTGTTTGTGTGTAGTTTCCGATGTATGTTTCTTTTCGTCGCTTGTATTGCCAATAACATATTGCGGCCCGGAACTCTCGGGAATGCACCACATTGCATTTGTTGGACCTTCCTGGTCGCCTTTCTTGGTACCGTTTTGCTTGAAAGTGACGACCGGTTGCGTTGGAGCGGAATGCGAGTATTCCATCGATAGCATCGACGACGCTTCGCTTTGAGGTGTCTCTACATCGTTGCTTGTATTCATTCTCTTAGCGCTAAAATCAACACGCGTGCTCACCGTGTTGGTGTGCCAGATCGTGGACGAACCGACGAAATCGTCCGCTATGCTGGATGAATCAGGCACAACAGATTCTAAATCACCGCCAGAATTCTCTTTACCAGGTGTATGCGATGGCATCACAAATGTCACCTCCACCTGTGGTATCAACGCGCCTATAATCAACGATCCACCGCTCTCGACTTTCAAAATCTTATTCGAATCCACAGCCAAATACGTTGCCATCTCGGAGAGTATCTCCGATAATCTGAGTAAGAACAAATATTGGTAATGATTTATCTGTACGCTAACTAGATTGCTTATATATGCCAGTCCGTGAATATCGGCGGCTGAAGGCTTTTCTTTAGCCGATAACGAGTCTGCGGTGAAATGACACCATAATGTTAAAGGAAATGCATCTAAAAACGGTACAGGCCGATTTTGACCGACGGCGCGCGCTCCGAAAAAATCTCCCCAAACAGGTTCAAAGTTACAGCACCATACATCCTTCGCCTCTGTCCATAGAAGTTCCCTATTCAACTGACGAAGCAACTCATTTACAGAATTGCTACTGAAATTAGGTGGTATTTGTCTAATGTTATCAGTGCCTAAAATAGGAAATATATAGAAGAGCTAATGAAAAATTTGGATGCATAATTGATATTTGCAATATAACGACTACATACCTGCACAATGCGCTAAAAATTTATCTGTTACTACATGAAAATCTCCTGATTTACTAGGGAATTCTGCACCAAAAAACATTTGCCCCATTTGAAATGCATTCAGACACTGTGCCAAATCCGCTCTCGAAGACCTTTCTGTTGATCGAACATTCGTTATAGATGCTCTGGAAGTTTGGATATGTAAAGACTTGGGCCTATCTTTTTGATTTGGGTAATCCTGCTGACTTTCAAAAACTATCTAAAAATACAGATTTTGATATTATTAAAATAAAAATCCATGATATTTAATATATACAGAATATGTGTAATACATTCTAACTTACTCTTGGAAGTATAGCCTCTATCTTTACATCAAAATACATTAAATGCGAAGAACTTAGTTGTTTGTCTTTTTCCATAAGAGAATGATAAAGATTCAATGCAAAAGAATTAAACCAAAGACACGAGCAGACATCAAAGTTTACTTGAATGGGATTAAGCTGTACATAAAATTTGGGCGGCGGCACTAAAAAAATTATGTCATCTAATAGTTAAATTATCGAATAGAATAAAAATATTTATACAAATATCTGCTTACAGGGAAAGGTAATATCTCCCGGATAATAATAATAAGTAAACTCAGCATGAAGTATTGTTACGTCTTCTGGAAGACTGAATCTGTCACGATCGCCTAAATAACAATTTAATTTAAATGAATATAGATGAATAATAGATGAAATTATAAAATAAAATTTTACACTAGCTACCTATAAATTTGATTTCGCATGCAATGATAATTGTTTTATATCATTTTGTTGAAACATTAAAACAACGTTTAACAATATCACTTATAAACGATATATAGAATCTAATATATAATCTCTAGATATCAATATTTTTTAAATTATTATACATTATTGTACATTTAATATTAGATTACAGATTAATCTTAATTCGTTTAACATACATAAATTCCAAATAATAAAAAAAACAAAGCAATAAAATCTATTTAAAAATAAAATAAATCAAATCTAGTTAAAAATTTTGTATGCGACATTACATTCAAACAAACTACTAATTTATTATACCTGGCATATGTTTTTTCCTGGTTTGAGCTGTACAATTATCAAATAAAATAATTATTAAGAAACTTGATGCGACTTCAATAAAAAACTCAACAAACAAATAGTTCAAATAAATATTAAATATGATACCTGCAATAAATTCTTTTGGCATTGGATTCCGCGAAGTCGTTGTCACTTTGTACAAGGTAAAATCATCAATTCTGATAATAATACACGTTGTCATTAACTTAGCAAGTTGCTCTAAGACATAATTCTTTACTGGATTACCACTAGGATGTTGAGACTTCTTTTGTTCAGATGGTGTTACATTTGGATTTTGTGGTTGATTACTCTTCTCCAAATGCTCTCTGGAGCCTTTCATACCGCTACCTATTACCAAATTGAGCAATGTATAGATTCTTATACTAGTTTGCATTCAATATTAATAGTTTAATTGTATGAACCTGTCACATTTCCTTGACTCCTTGTTAAAGGAGAATGTTGCGTTCTACCAGAATCTATGAGATCCATAAACTGACTTCGAAACGAAGTTAATGATTGTTGTAACCATTGATTATGAGGTGTGGCATTTTCTCTATATTTGGCCCAATGTTTCCTATCCGCCATTGCCAAATGATATGGATAATAATCGATTTGAAATCTAACTAGTGAAATTTGTAATGCACCACCATCCTTCAAATCAGGATGTAATGATCTGCCTCCTGTTTTAATAAAGTGTAAATATTAATAGATAATAGAATTTAGTGAATACACTCTATATTCAAACATAGGAATAAGTTCTTTTGTATTTACCACCCGCATCATCACATAAATGAAGATCGATACGTTGCGAAAGAAAATGATATGATGTCTCTACAACATCATATCTCGTAAATATTTTTGATATTGCTGTGTTGTATTGATTCTTCGTTCTACTTTGTTGAGATATTTGTGCCTGATATTCTGGTAAAACCTTAAATTAAAAAAAATAGTTAAATTAACGAATCATAAAATTTTAAAAAATAATATTAAAATATATTATAAATATAATATTATAATATTATAATATATAAATATATATAATATTATAATATATAATATTATAAATATATTATAAATATATTATAAATATAATATTAAAAAATTTAAATAAATTAACTCCAAATAAATCCAAACAAATATTTTTAAATAATTCTAAAGAAACAAACCTCCAATTTTCTCGCAGCTTTTGTTTTTCGTTCAAGAATGGTAGCTTTCTCGATAAGGCCACCCAAAGAGTCAAGAAAATGAAGTGCAGCTTTTAGTTGTGAATCAGTTAATACCCATAAAAGATCATCCAAAATAATTACTAATCTAGAGCCCATAACAAAACAATCTAAAATAAAGCAGTTGGTTTAGTGCAACAATTAAAAATTTTATTAACAGGTATTTAAATCAACTTTCACAGACCTGATATTCTCTTCTTGATTGTAATACGACATCTTGCTTGATTCGTAAGTAAACGAAGTGGTGTCAGATTTTGATCCTTAGTACTTTGAGCTTCTATTCTAACAGTTTGCCATTCCAACTCTTTAAAGATAAGTAACTGCCCTCGATCAGGATCCTTTACTCTAGTGGTTCTGAGATCACAGCGCTGCCATGTTGCTGATTTGGATTCTACCATAATCCGGTTCATCTACATAATATAAATAATTTTAAGTGACTGATAATCTATGCTTTTTATATAGTAATTACATTGTAATGATATTATACCTGGACTGAGGCAATAAATGCAGGACTTTTAAATGTAACCAGTACAGTATTAACAGCTACTGTTATTCCATCAATTACTTTATGTATAAAAGAATATTTTGCAGGACCAGCATATGATGATATTCCTTGTGGGGAAGACATGCTTCTCAAATCCTCACATGTTTCTACATCTATATGAACCTCATCCAAACTCTGCAAATATAATATCTCAATCATATTGCTCATAGTTTATCATAAGTAATAATAATGGCAAAAATCATATATATTATTATCTATCTATATCATTTGTCATTTACCAAAAAGATAGGAACACTTTTTAGTTTGGTCCATTGTATGCGAAATGAAACTTTATTGCACCAAGCATTGGTTAGTCTTAACCATGATGGCAGCTCTAGTAGTTCTGTGAGGACTATTTCATCGAGTTCTAAGTTTGATAGCTCTCCTTCACCTTTGAAAGTGCTCAGGTTTATCTTATCAGCAGATAAGTTCTTGGTAAACCTATAATGTTTATAAGCATAAAAGCTCAACATGAAGTATGTATTTATCAATAGTTATGAAAATAAAGCAATCGATAATGATTTGTGCATATATAAAATTTATATTTATGTATGTTTATGACATATGTAATTATGTAGATGTATAATGTAATGATAATTATATACATGTATAGTTTTTATTTTTAGATAATAGATACATATAATTAACTACATATAATTAGATACATTTTTAGGCACAGAATCTATGAGATTATATAATCATTGTTAATTCAAATAATATACAAGACTTGGATAAAAAAAGCAAAAAAACGAGTGACACATTACGAGTGTGTCGATAATGAAAAAAAGCGCTTTCTCTCGTTACTTTCGAATCTGCTCTGTACTTGATATTACAATCACGCAGGGCGTGCAAGAAGGGAAAGAAAGATATGATGATACATCGCGATGACAAGACGTATGTCTTAACGATAAGGAAGTGTAAAGGAGTGTAATGTGACGTGTGACTTATGGAGCGGGGCGAATGTGATTCTTTTTTTCCTCTTGGTATGTCACTTGAAAGATGGGATCGTGCTCCAGATTAATCGATTATGATTGCACAGACATTACCTCGATAGGTGTTTCAGCAGTTGATTTTTGATGATCGAAACCATCTTTCAACCGTGTCGGCGAGCCTAAATTCTTACGACAGTTAATGAGAACTAATACGTCTTGGCATGGTTAGTTTGACACCACACATATTCACGCGACGTCTACAAAGACTTCTAGCTACATACGCACCACGCACACTGCAAGCCACACACATGTACACACACCATGTACCACGCATACATACACATATATGGCCTTGCGAATGAAGTAATTCCCTCTTATCAATGCACGAAATTTCTTCCACTGACACCGCCGTGAAGTTGCCTACACTGTCGATGCAACAAAAGGTGCGTTCCTTTATTCACTCCGAGTACTCATGCTATGACGTAATGGAAGTGTACTGCGGCTATTGTTCCGTTTTAATTTCGTGCGCTTTGTAACTGCTTCAAGATTATAAAACGGAACACAGTTGCGGTACGTTTTCAAGCTCCAACTAAAAATGGCTGGCATATATAATAGTAAAAGAAATAGAATTTATTATATATATTAAATATAATATATATATATATATATATAAAATAATTAATAATAATAAAAAAATAAATAATAAATAATAAAGAAATTAATAATAATTTCATAATATTATATAATATCATATCAATATCATTGCATTTTATAACTGTGTAAGATTCTTCCATATGATTGGCTTATACATTTAGATCCATAAGAAACTAAGGGTAAAAACCAAAGATTTTTACAAAGCTGCTTTAGTCGATATTAGACTAAGGCTGCGTTTCGATATTCACTGCAAGTACTGAAAATCTATAATATACATGACCTGAACTATATATTTTCAGTATTAGCAGTGAATATCGGAACGCAGCCTAGAAATTGAGGCTGGTTCCCCTGTAGCATAACTTGTGTAAGCATAAACTGCGTCATCCAATCAAATTGTCTCAGCTACTCTACACAAATCCATCTAGATTCTTATTAGATGATTTGATTGGCCTTAAGCCTGTTCTACAATGCGTCGTGTGTCGGTGTCGTGAGCCATAAAGGCCATATCGGATTAGCGGTTGCCTGGCTACGATTGCCGATTGACGATTCTATTATTATCAATCACATTGACCATAACCAGAACCTGCTATATTGTAATTAGCTGAAATAGAATCGTCATAGCAACCGTAGCCGAGCAACCCATAGTCTGATATAGCCTTAACGATTGTACAATCATTGTTTTCTGAACGCAGCCACATGGTTTTCATGCTATTCGTGCTATAATCTGATCTTTTTTCATATATTAAGACCGGATAAAAAAGAACATGCTATTGTTGCAATTTCTATTGATTTTATTTACATATTGTTTTATGTGTCTCTATTAAAATTTTGTATTAAAGAGCTTGCTGTATTACTATACTTTTGGTAAGTATATTATCAATTGTAATTCATTATCTACACGTTACAATCGAAATTAAAGAGAAACTATATAGGTTATGTGGCAGAAAAGCACGTTTTTTTATGAATTTAAAATCAGTTCTAATACGAAAAATTAAAACTAACATGTTTTATTTATTAAATATTCAATTTATTTTATATATGATATTTATTGCAGTTAATTATCTTTATGAACATATTTAAGATTTATTTTTTACTATAATTTATGATATAATTTTACCATAATTTATGATGTAAAAAAAATAACTTTAAGAGAAATATTACTGTTATGTTCTTGTAGTTTCTTGTGTATTTTGCATATTGAGTGATATTTGTTACAGACACAATGGCTAAGTCACATGCCACTAATAAAGCCCCCCGAAAGGAGGGCTTTAAACGTTCAGGACATTCTATGAATCCTGAACGTAGTACAAAAGGATTAAAAGGAGTTGCTAAAGTACGGACGAAAGGAACTATTAAAAGACTACAGATGTATCGTAATCAGAAACCAAAACGTAATCGTATTGGGGAGATCATTAGTCCGGCGCCATTTCAAGGCTGGAATGCTTCTGGAACTATGTCACGCGTTGAGCCGTCGCAGAGATGGTTTGGTAATTCGAGAGTCATCTCGCAAAATGCTTTGCAAAAATTTCAGAATGCATTAGGAGCTGTTATGAAGGATCCTTATAAAGTTATTATGAAACCTACTCAATTGCCAATAACTTTGCTTCAGCAAAAGGCAGCTAACGCAAGAGTACATCTGCTAGATACAGAAAGCTTTGAAAGCACTTTTGGTCCAAAGAAAATTAGAAAAAGACCGAATTTGTCAGCAACATCGTATGACGAATTAAAAAAATTGGTTGAAGACAAAGAAGATACTTATAATGAGAAGAAGGATTCCAAAGATTATGACCTTGTTCGTGAGGATACTGGTGTAAGAGATGCACAGAGAGATTGGATCATGTCCGCGGGACAAAGCAAAAGGATATGGAACGAGCTGTACAAAGTTATTGATTCCTCCGACGTTATTTTGCAAATATTGGATGCGAGGGATCCAATGGGAACTAGATCTCCTCCTGTGGAAAAATATCTGAAAACTGAGAAACCTTATAAACATTTGATATTCATCCTAAACAAAGTAGACCTAGTGCCAACGTGGGTCACGCAAAGATGGGTAGCGATTCTGAGCAAAGAATGTCCAACAGTTGCCTTTCACGCATCCTTGACACATCCCTTTGGCAAAGGTTCTTTGATAAATCTCCTGAGGCAATTTGCAAAATTGCATGTTGATAAACAGCAGATTAGCGTTGGCTTCATAGGATATCCCAATACAGGCAAGAGTTCCATTATAAATACTCTGCGTTCCAAAAAGGTTTGCAAAGTAGCGCCTATAGCCGGAGAGACAAAAGTATGGCAGTATATAACTCTCATGCGTCGTATCTATTTGATTGATTGTCCCGGCGTCGTTTATCCATCGACAGAGACCGACACGGAGAAAGTATTAAAAGGAGTCGTGAGAGTGGAACTCGTTCAGAATCCAGAGGATTACATTACTTCCGTCCTAGAAAGAGTAAAACCGGAATACATACGTAAAACGTATAAGATAGACACATGGACAGATCATGTCGATTTCTTGGAAAAATTGGCACGTCGAAGCGGCAAGCTTCTGAAGAAAGGAGAACCTGATATCACGATCGTCGCACGTATGGTGCTCAATGATTGGCAGCGCGGTAAATTGCCTTTTTACGTTGCACCAGTTGGTTTTGAGGAACCATCGTCAGATCAAACAATTAATACAAATGAAACAATTGACATACAAGATAATACATTAAAAGTCACTAATAATGAAAATATACAAAAAACCGATAACTCACCTCCAATAGAAATATCAAAAAGTCAGCTAACAGTGACACAAGATTTTAGAAAAATACGTGTTGGATTGCCATATTCAGGCAACGATATTAAGAACCTAGAACAGGATAAATCTTTCAGTGAAAGTATTGCAGAAGATGATAGCAGTATGGAAAGTGAGTCGGAATTAGAGGATTCAGAAAATACAAAAATACAGAATGATTTATATATAGCAAAAAATAAGTCCGATAATGATTTACAAAATGCAGAAAATTTTAATAATGAAGGCGATAAGGAAAGTTCTTCGAATAACAGTAATAACACAAAGAAAAATGAATTGGAAGAAAAGTATAAGGATTCAGAAATTCTTTTATCTACTAAGCAAGATAATTTGAAGAACCTAGATGATTCTAGCGATATCGAAATATTGTCTTCTAAAGCGATCGTAGATAGTAAAAAGAAAATCTCACCAACTTCTTTCGAAAAAATGAAAAATGATTTAACAAGCAAGCAACGAAAGGCTATAAAATGCCCTATTAAAAAAAGAAAGATCGACAGCAATTTCTATAACATCACGAATGAAAAAGTGAAAAATGGAAATAAAAACAGGAAAGTTCTCAAAGATGCAAAGATACAGAATGATTTGTATGTAGCAGAAGATAAATCCGATAATGACTTACAAAAAGTAGAACATTTTAATAATCAAGGCGATAAAGAAAGTTCTTCAAATAATAGTAATAACGCAGAAAAAAATGAATTCGATATGGGAGAAAAGTATAAGGATCCTAATTGGGAAATTTTTTCACCTATTGAGCAAGATAATCTGAAGCAAAACATTTTTGATATCATAGATGATGAATATGATTCTAGCGATATCGAAATGTCTTCTAAAGCAATGTCAAGTAGTGAAAAGCAAATCTCACTAACTTCTTCCAAAAAGAAAGATTTAACAAGCAAGCAACGAAGAGCTATAGAACGCGCTGTTAAAAGAAAAAAAATCGGCAGCAATTTCTACGAAGTCACGAATGTGAAGAATAGGAATAAAAACAGGAAAGTTCCCAAGATCAAAAGAAAATAATAAATTAATTCTAAACTAAGTTATATCAATTTTAAATAAATGTAAAAAAAAGGAAAAATGAGCAAAAGAAAGCATAAAATATATATTTTATATTTGTAAATTTTCTAAATCATACATCCATTTCTGTAACTAGTTTCGTTCTACCGGTTCTTATATAGAAGATAAAATAAAACAATGTGTAACGTAATTACACATGTAGCACAATTAATTGTATTGCGTTACTGTGAGTACACGCAACAATAAACATATTTATGTTTGATTCGCGGTGTATTTTCTATTTTATTTTTCCTATCGCATTGCCTAAATCCAATTATGTCTAACAAAATATAACACGACCTTATGCAGCCGTTGCTTGAACGCTTCGTTGCCTTGATAAGTTGTCATGAAATCCTTCATTTTATCATACCGCAACTCGGTCTCTTGTGTGTTCAATGTAAGTATTTTAAGCATAAAGCACAAATGCCCAAACTCAAACTTAGCGTCACCGGGCAACTTCGCGTTGAACTTTTCTCTGGTGAACTGCTCGGTATCGCAATCCATTCGACTTAAGACAGCCAAGAAAGTTTTATGATACAAATTTATTAGATCCTCAAGCTCATCGTCACCCACATCCGTACTAGAGAATAGGAAAAAGATCATCTCACGCAGCGGACTAAAAAACAGATAATTTTGAAAGTCCACGAATTTGATGTCGTCCACTCGTCCATTTTCATCGCAGTGGAACATAATATTGTTCACCCAAAAATCCGCGTGGATGATAGTGGACCACGGCTCATCGGGCACTATATCCCACATACCACCATGCAACGAATCGTTTATGGCCGTTCTACATCGATCGCCGTAAGCAGCTAAATCCGGATCCTTCTCTATGTTCGTTATCATGTCATCGATCGCTTTCTTGAACTCATCAAACTTTATCGTCACGCACTTGCTACGTTCTTTCAACACCTCGAAGTACTCCGGTTTCTTGTACTTGGTGGCCATTCCTAGCGCATGAAATCTCGCCATTGCCCGTATCGCAACTCTTGAATGCTCTAAATCGCATCCTGCATTCCAAAAGAACAAAGGAAAATCATGTAATGAATGACTAAACATATTCGCATGATTTCTGATAATCTGATATCTAATCTAAAGTACATTTCTGAGTAATCAACGAACGCATAACTATGTGACAATAACCATGTGCAATTTCGTTTTATAAATGGTTTTATAAGAAATATTTTGTATACGGCTGATTCTAGAAATCATGATGTAATCAACATATATCATTCATATATCATTTAAGTTTCCAAGTATCAAGAGAGAGTGCATAAAACCTCGAAAAAAATGATGCCAAGGAGATTAGCGCTGTAAATTATGTTTTGTTACTAAGATCGTAAATCATGTTGATAACAAGAAAAAACATCATTGCATGACGAATGATAAATCTCTAATCGATTTATTGCACTGTTTTTAATACCACAAATGTTTTTAAATAGATAAAGACATTTAAACATATCTCTTATAATCCCTACTAGTAATTTGTACAGCTTATGAAATTTCATTAACAACTTTTTATGCTTTCAAAAATTTATAACTTCTAATGATATATTTCGGCAAAAAAATCGTACATTGGCAAACACAAAAATTGATTTTGAAGAAGAAGTATAGTATATAAAGCTAAAATTTGTTAAAATATATGGGAAATAATTGTTTTCTCTATATTTTTATGATAGCTAAAATCGTCGCTAAAATTTTTCAGCCATTTTACTACATTTACCTCAAAAATCTGATATGACAGATAATTTTTTTCAGATTCGTGTCCAGCGCACAAAATTATGTAAGAAATCACTTATAATTCTCAACTTTTAATATCCTTAATTCCGCAAGTCTATGCAATCTATATTTATTTTTTAATTTGTTAAATTTAAATGAAAAAATTGAATATTATATAATTTGTCATTTTCAGAAAAAAATGATAGTATAAATAAAAATTTAAATTAACACACATGTTAAGTCACATGATAAATCTTCATTAGAAACATTCGAAGAAGCTTATAAATAATTCATTAGATTGGACGTTTTTCCCGTATGCACTCCTTGAATCTTGATAAAATATTCTTGTTTAAAAAATAAGTATTAAAATCAAAGCTTTGATCAAAGCTTTTCACAATCTAACATGAAAGCAAAGTATTTAACGCTACCTTTAGTTCTGTCGCTAGTATAATAACCACGTATCTTTAAATTTTCCATTAGGATAACAGCATTATCGTCAAAATCAACATCCGGGCTTAGCGATAATCGAGATTGATAATATTTTGGCAATATGTCAAATATTTCATTTTCTTTCAAGCCCATTTCTCTCTCAAATTCTTGATAATGAGGCACGATGTTCTCATACATAAAAATCTCCTTCTTGAATGTGTACGGGCTTTCGAAAATTTCCCGTTGAAATTCCGTTGGCGGCGGCATTTTCGCAATGAGATGAAGATCCTCCTCTTCCGCTTCATCATTGCGCTTAATCACAGCATGGACACTGAAAATTGTGCTGCCATAATTCTCGCCTGGCTGTAACAGATTCTCGGTTGTATAATGGACCACGATCAATTGATCACCAAATGTACATCTCAGTAATGGTTGCAGCTCAAGCAGCTCGATCTTCCTTAATTGCTGATCGTTGCTCATGATTGTTTCACGAACACTGTGTCGAACACTGTGGAAGAAGACTGATATCTATACCAACTGTGTCTCGTATCGGACCGATACTGGATTGAGATATCACGTATGAGAGAAGCGCACGCGTCTCTCCCTCATCCAATGTGTCCCACACCGGAGGACAATTATTTCATCAGTGATTTGCCGCTGCCGCCGTTGTCGGTGTGATCCACCTCCTAGCTTGCATACCAATATTTGTATATATCGTTACGTAGCGATTACGCGACCATGACGCTTATATTACGTATTTCACATGCCGGATGAGATTAATTTTAATGCAGAAGCACGTACTGTGAGCACGTACTTGACTCACGAGCAAAAAGTTTCGTTTATTTTCCTCTTCTACCAGTAACTTTTAATTTCGTTCTCTCTCTCTCTCTCTTTCTCGACCAACGCCTACGGCAATCAGTTTGTCCCGGTTTTACCATGAGGGATCCATGATTCACACATAATCTCTATACTCTGTATCTCTATACTCTGTAGCGTCGTTTCTATAATCGCGCTGTGTTGCATAATATCTTTTGCAAATACAACACTCACATGTTAGGACCTATCCAGATAAACTTGCGTAGCAGCGTAACCATACGCGTAAGGAAAATTACCCAATCGCATTTCTACCATAAAAACACAAAACATGTAAAATGCGATTGGATAATTTTTCTTATGCATATGATTATGCTGCTATGTAAGTTTGTCTGGATAGGCCCTTACCTGTTATATCTATTACAATTACAAGTGTGATTGTTAATGTCCTAATGTCATTTCTTTTTACTGAAATGAAAGATTAGATTAATTAATTTTGGATTATAATCACTGATAATGCTGTTGTGATATGGCGATAAAAAGAATAAATTTATTTCTGTAATAATAGAGAATAATGATATAAAAATATATTTTTCTGGCATTTATGGCAGTATAAGATAGCATATATAATTGAAATTTTCGTATAAAATACGATTAATTAAAATAACGAACGTAAGATACATATATATTGCATTTTGTAATATCTGATCAGTTTAATCATAATTATATTATATTAAAACTTCTGACTGTTTGTTCCAATCATGTAAATGTATGTAAATTCATCTCATAAGTTGCTGACGATGATAAAATCTTTACTTTGATCGACCCTCTTGCTCAATCAATTTGCTATGAATATCCCACAAGTTCTACAAATAAAAAATGATAAGCTGTAAACTTAATTGTTTAGAGTGACGATTGTAATTTTTAAACCAATAATGAAAATAAATATAATTTATATGTAATATATTTTTTTCATAAAATGGGAAGGAAAATGGATATGTTGTATTCATATAATTCAGAAAATTTTGATTGAGCGTAAATAGTTATAGAGATAACTACCACTTTAATCGTTTTGCACTGCGCGGCGGGGGATTGCATTTCCATCTTCCTCAATCAATTTGCGATGTACATCACTGAGCGCCTAAATAGCAATAAATTAAATACGCAATTTCAATACTATGCCTGAACTTGATTCAACTCAGTACATCATCTCTACTTTATGATTTAAAAAAGTGCATAGTCAGCGTATGATGTAACAAATGAAATTACCTTGAAGTATTTAACCGTTTTCACGCGCAATTCTAGAGTTGCGTCTTCGTCGCAGATTATGAGCGTACGAGGATGTTGTTGAAATACAGATACCGTCCACATATGATTAATACCTTCCTCTATGGCTTTATAAAGGGCAAAGGCTTTGTGAGATCCAGTAATAAGAATCATTACTTCCTTAGCATCCATTACAGTACCAACACCTACAGTCAGTGCTTGCTTTGGCACTTTATTGATATCATTTCCAAAAAATCTCGCATTGGCTTCTAAAGTATCTTGCGCGAGAGTTTTCACCCTCGTGCGAGAGGCTAACGATGAACCCGGTTCGTTGAAAGCTATATGTCCATCTGGTCCAATGCCTATTACATAACATTACATAACATTATAAGTTATTTACAAATTTATGACAATGAATCTTTTGTGTTTATATTTAATGATATCATTGGCATACCTCCAATGAACAATTCTACTCCTCCAGCTTCTTTAATCTTCTTTTCGAAATTATTGCATTCTTTTTCGAGATCTGCCGCATTTCCATCAAGTATATGCACATTATTCGGATCGATATCTATATGTTTGAAGAAATTGTGATACATGTAATAGTGGTAAGATTCTGGATGATCTCTCGGCAAATCAACATATTCGTCCATATTGAACGTTTTAACATACTTAAAAGAAATTTTGCCTTGTTGATAAAATTCTATTAGTTTCTTGTACATGCCCAAGGGCGTGCCTCCTACATAATAAAAAAAACAAGAATAATTGATAGAACACTACAATTAATAAATAAATATTTAAAAAGAGAAATATTAACTTAGCTAATAAACATAGGCTTAATCTTTTATCTGCATCTATTACATACCTGTAGGAAGACCAAGAACAAAATATTTATTTTCATTGGGATTGAAATCATTGATTCTCTTTAAAACATATTTTGCAGACCACTCCGCAACGTAATCCACGGTATCACAAATTATCAGACGCATTATAATTATCTATATTGATTGCACACTGTACAATAAGTAGGTGTTAAATTAGCATTTTAATATCAAATTAATATTGTTATCATTTATATTCACGCAAGATATAATAGTTATATATATTATATATTATATATTATATATTATATATTAGTTATAGAAGTTATATAAAAAATTTATATCTGTTCTCATAATAAAATAAATAATAAGCTTCCAATATCAACAGAAAAAAATAATTAATTGCCTGAAAAAAATATTTCAAGTGCATCATATATGGAAGATACTTAATTATATCAAAATTCATAGATTACAGATATATAAAATTAATAATATAAATTTTACATTTTTTTGCTATTAGCCTTGGTTTCATTAATTTTACTGGACAATCTAATAAATTAATTCTACGAGATAAACATTTGTACACAATTAAAAGAAACAAATAAATATTTAATTTATTTGAAATACAGAAACATAATGTGTGTTATAAATGTAATGGAGCTAAGAACAAACTTTTATCTACAGTGAAACATATTTACTCTTTGTATCTTACTGATAAACTCGTAATATTGACCTGTTACTTTATGCAGGCACAGTCAATTCAAAATAATAATAAATTTGTATATATTCTTGAGATTAATTTATACAAAACTTTTCAATATACTGATTTTTATCAATATAAATATATAAATATATATATATATATATATATATATATATATATATATATATTAATTAATTAT